CGAAAGACGGCGACGCCAACACGGTCCCGAAGGCGCCACTGCTTCAATTCCACGGGAAGGTCACCAGCCGTTTGGTAGCGTAGGTTTCTCAGCTCGCGACTGCTTTCTGCGCAGAGCTCATAGACGAGCGGACGAGACGACGGTGAGTTAAACAAGGTTTATGTTCAGCGTATATACAGAGGCGTTATGAATTCGGCACTGGGGCCGACAGAGACGCGAAGAGCCGAGCTCTTCTCTCTAACACATAGCTCTACTCTCAATGGATTCGCTGTCCAAGGGGATCTCTCTCGACGCGTCGCAGGGCTTCTTTTATATGCCCCAGGTCCAACCCAAACGTCCAACCTGAAGCGCCGCTTGTCGCGAAGTCCGAATCCTCCAATGAGGTCACCGCTGGGCCGCGTCCTTCTTTCTCCTGAAATCTGGAGAGGCTGCGCTGCAGGTGGCTGCATCCAAGGACGAGTGACGTCGCAAGACATTGCGTCTGACCCGCCAGACAGGAAGACGCCGGTTGTTTACTCGACGGGCTTGCTTGCGTAGATGACTCACTGCACGTGCACGCCAGAAAGGCGCCGTTGAGTTGTTGATCGCGTCAGGCGGGCGACGCGGGCTGGCCTTTGACACAGATTGCCTTTTTCAGAGGCACGAACGTTCGCTGTCGACTCGCAGGCATAACAAGGGCGACTTCGGTAGGGGAGGGGGAGAGAGGACCAGAGGCAGCCCCCAACCCAACCGCTTGCCTTTGTTTGGGCGTTTGCCAGGATGGAAATCTCCGGGGTTGAAGCTTGGCGCCTTCGTCTAATATCGGCCTTGTTGGTCGTCTTGACTTGCCCAGGTATTCCCGGTGCAAAAGAACGCTTCTTTGTGTTAACTGTGAAGGACGGAGTTTTCTTGGGAGTTGGCTTCCGCTTCGCGTTGCTTGGTGACATCGTCGGCTTGATGGGATTCCAGTAGTTGTCTCCACAGTCAGCCACACCTGTTAGATGGCTGTCTCCACACATGAGGCAACGAGGTGAGCACTCGTGTTCAGCAGCCTGCTCGGAAGTGGTGACCACTTGTCAGCTACAGCGGCCACAGTGTCCTGACTGCAGCCTAGGGCAGATGTCAGCCTGACGCCCCACCATGCCACATCGGTGACAGGCGGGAATTGTCTTCTTATAAAGTCTCACAGGGATGACCTGATTGGTGCAGTGGACATAACGGGGCACCCTCTTGCCTTTGAAGGTGACCACTACCACGTCCATTTTGCCCAACTTTCTCACAAACAAGATGTTGCCGTGTTCCCACCTCAGCTTTTGGTTGAGATAGCCTGATGTATCGCTGGAGTCAATGTTGATGACACGCGTGCAGACGTCACCCGAGGCTTTACCGTGACCGCAGAACGGGAGTCGGCGGCTCCCGACTACAAACAAGATGTCCCCGAGAAGCCTCTCGGCGGCGGGCACTAAGTTCAGTCCTTACACAATCACATTTTGATCCCATGAGGGCCAGATGGTGAGTTTCACCTCCCCTCAGCTACGTATCAAGTTGCGTACAGCAGCGCCGGATTGACCTGGAGCAAAGGTCACCTTCAGATCCAGCGTTTTGCGTGGCTTGGGCACCACGATGAGTTCATCACGCCGAATGCATGGCGCCTGCTTTGAACACCATCATGGTTAGCAGATTTCTTCCTTTAAGGCCATGCTAACTGTGTCCTCGTGTGTAGCAGGCGTCGAGCGAGACGCTGCTTGTAGCTGGGCCGTAGCTCCGGTGTGCTTAGGTGCCAGCGTTTTCTGCTGGCGTCGCCATATTCGAACCATATCGTCCAAAAGTTCTTATTCGGATGGTGGAAGATCCTCGAGTTGTTCAGTATCCATGCTGACAATTCGCATCGAAGCAGGATCACAACCAGTCGCAATCTTAAGACGCCATCTCCGGGAAACAGTGGCCGGGGCTGGCGGCAGCGTTGCTGCTGCTAGGCCAACACTCCAGTGATCGGTGAAATCTTCTAACACTGACATGTTCGTCAAATGTGGGCCCACCTTGATGAGAGTGGTGTCCACTTGCGTCGCTCAATTTCATGGAGACGAGACGACAAAATTTGCCGGATCTGGGTTGAGTGACCGTGATTCACGACGGTTATAAGTGGAGTCGAGGTGATGCATGTTCGTCACCAAATGGCCTCTGAAGCATCCCAGTGGTGGGTTGAATGGCATGCGACGTGGTGGCGTGTGGCTATCTCGTCTGCCTGCTCTTGCCTGCCTTCATGGAGTTGTGGCGTAGGTGAGAACACCTGTGTCCGAGTAAGGTGGCGATGTGGGCCATGTTGTTTCGGTGAAATTGAGTGTTGCTGAACTCTTTTCCGGACGACGTCAGCGAACGATGCGCTTGCGGGTTGTGCGTCCGGTAGGAGATTGTGCAGCCCATCACGTCTCGAAGCGACTCTGCGGTGGTGCTACGGGAATCATTGAAGTCGGACAGGACAGTGAAGCAAGGTAGTTGCGGTCGTACTGCTTTGAGCGTAGTTAGAGCGTCTTCTCGATGGCTATGGCCTCGCTAATGCACTCTACGACGCTCTTCGCGGAGTTTGAAATGGGAGCCACGAAACGTTGCTTTTAGATGGCCCTCATAAGACACTGAAGCTTTTTGGCTTCAGCAATGTTCACACCCACGTGGTGGAATAGCTTTTGTATTCTTTCAGCAAAGATTGTTCAGCAAGATAGAATTGCAATTCACAAGATTGAAGCAAGGCCTCAGCTCGCTCTTTTCGCAAAAACTTTTTGAACAATTTAGGTGCCTGCCTCTCAAACATGTCGCACTTTGTGGAGTAGGGCTTTTGGTTCTCGTGCCAGGTGCTAGCGGATTCCTCAAGTACAAGGAAAGCGTTTAGCAATTTGTCGTCGTCACACCACTTGTACGGGGCTGCGACCCACTCGTAAAGGATCAGCCAGTCTTGTACGTCCTCACAAGCGCAGCCACGAAACAACAAGGGTTGACGAGGCTCCTCGATGATAACAAGGCTGTGAGAACTGTCAGCCTCCACAGGTGAAGTTGAACGGTGGTGAATGCAACGAGTAGTAGCTGGGAGTGGTCCCGATTCTGCTGGTAACCGTTGTAGCCGGCGGCCAGCGCTGGTTTGTTCTTTCTTGATTTTTGTGGTGGTTCCGTGCGTGTCGGCCGTTTGGCAGGCACTTGTGCTGGTTTCGCGGTGCGATGGAGATGTGGCTAAACATCAGCACCTCCTTCAAGTGTCTTGTAGGGGATGGTACCGTGGCTGGCGCACACACCAGTATATAGGCGGACAACCTCCACAATAATAAATATTCATTTGGCTGACTTGCGCCGGAAAACAAGCTGACACACCACTACACGGCGGTGAAAAATCTAGACAGCAGGCTCGAATGGTAGCCCGGAGTTCCCGGGGCCATGGACAACAAACAGTGGCTACCAGGCTGCGCGGCGGCAGATGCGGTGGGTTCTTACCTGTTCGTTGCGTCGCAACATATCGGGGCATCAGGATAGCTCACGGCTGAACTCGGTCACATGCGTGATGCTGGTAAAAGGACTCGATAAGACAGCCCAGTTAATTTTTTTCCTAATGTACGTGGCAATATGCCGGTTGCTGTGTGTATTGTTGTCCGTAGCGGGAGCGATGTGTTCAGTGTTGATGTGTAGTGTACGATTACAATGTGTGGGTCGATGTCCATCCGTATAATTAACGCAAGTTTCAATCATTGCGAAGTGGCATGCTCACTGCTATATTGCAGAAAATGCTTCCCAAATATCTACTGTTAAATTATTCTACTCTTAAAACATGTTGGTGCACTCTAGCCCGACCAGGTGGTAAAACTGTGAGAAATAGTGTAAACAGTGTATGCTCTCTATTCCAGAAGCGTTACTGTACTCTGGCGAGGGAGCTTGTTCCCTCTCGTTCAGCCAGATTACCAGCACTTTGTCTAGAGGGTGTGCTTACTCTGTGCGGCAGAGAGTTCCCAGCACTCATGAAAAGAGAGCGAAGGGTCAGACAAGCATTTACTCCACAAAGAAAGTTGCCTGCACTGTCTTGCCACGGTGAGTGAAAGCATTGTCCTAGTTTGTCTGACTTAGTTATTTAAATACACATTTATTTGCAAATAAATAATGGGGTGTGATTACCCTAAATAAAAAGAGGTGCTTGGGACAAAACACTCGCCTGAGTTGCCACGCAATTAGGGTGTACGCTTTAGTTTGCTGCACAAGAAATGCACCAAAATAGAAGTTCTCTTTCGCTTGTATGCTTGCCCCAATAAACATTTTGAGCGGATGTGCGCTTCCGTTTGAACGCACTGCGGCAAGCCGACCGGAGCATGCAGGCCACGCGTCGCCATGTTCTTTTCTATAAAAGTTGACCATTGTACCTTCAGGACACCGAGAATCGTGAATTTACCAAGATTAATCATGTGTTGTAATATGCATTGGATATGTAGAGAATGCAGACAAAACACAACGTGTTAGAGACACCCTGACAGATCGATCACTGCGAGGTTTCGAGTCCTTCCTGAGAAATGGGTGATCGGGAGGTGGTGCTTCATCTTCGGACAATGATGTGCCACCGGTGTGAGGACAAATGATAAAAGCACCGGTTAGGAGCCTCTATTGATGTGCATGATGGTTCACATTCAACAACAAAGAGAAAAAAAGGCTGTGGTCACGTGCGTAGCGATCCTCTACGCGTTACGGGACGAATAAAAGGATATTGTTCTGAATGGTGCGGTAAATGGTGATGTATGTACATTTTTAACATATCACCAAAAGTGAGAGTTATTGTTCAGTGAACAATATTTTGGTAAGCCGAAAACGAGGAGAAACGCATTTTATTTGATAACCGGACTGTCGTTAGATATGGTGTCATCGGATCACTGGGCGAAGTGTTTTTTGGTGAATTTAAAATGGATATTGGGTCCAGATGATTAGGACTAAACAAGGCTTTCATACCCAAATAACATTTCGCAGGTTTTCCTTGATACCTGGGCGATGTCATTCAGCTGAATGCCGCGAACCGCAATCCGTTGTTCTTGTACGTGTGGCTCTCAGACGTACCGCACAGCAATTCCCATGCGTTGCTCGTATTGGAGGGTCCTTTACACGGGCTGCTGAGAAACATGCAAGAGCGCCTTCTTTTCGACGACACCGTAGTCATTCTGCTCAGTGACCATGGTGCCCGCTTCGGCACGGCCCGCGCTTCCGAGACCGGACGCCACGAGGACAAGAACCCGTTCGGACTCATAGTGTTGCCTCAGAGATTACTACGCAGATATCCCACAGTGGCGGTGAATCTTGAGGTGGGTGGTTTTGTTTACACAAGCAGGCTTTAGCAAAAATAAGCATTTTGTACTTCATGGCCAACTTTTGTTCGAACAGTACGTGTACTGTCCCGAAATCGAAATAAAAAAATATCGTGTTTAGCAGCCATTTCAGGTTGTTTTTCGATGCCTACGTTCAGCTCACTCACTAAACAAAGGCGTGCATAAGCTGGTACCACAAATATTACTATTTTATGTGACCCTGTGCAAATTATTCGATGAACGCTAGACAACTAACCTGAAATATAAAGTGAATAATTAGAACTGACGTATTTGAGGAACTGTTGTTTTGCTGCTAGTCACAAACAGCTTATGAAAACAAATTCAAGAAGGAAGAATAATGACCAATACCATTTTTAACTCATTTTCAGATTGTATATTAGCTTTTTATAGACACATTCTATCCTACCATTTATAGAGCAAAATGTGCTTTGGCATCAAATCATTCATAAAAAATATGCAGAGAGAACAGTCGTAGATGAAACAGGAGTTCTAAGTGGTTATAGGTTTTTTGCATTTATAGTGATGCTCGATATAAACGAAATGTCATAAAAACGTAAATTTACATCCCAGGCTAAGTAATCGCATAATACCATGCAAATATAACGCATGCTGTGACGAAGCAATCTCTACTGAAACTGACCAAGTGCAACCATTCCAACGTGTTTGCAGATGTAATTATTTGCTTGTTCAAAATTCATAAATATAAGTAACTAGAGCCTCATAAAATAGAGATTGTCTTCTGGATAACTCATGCGCTTGAGTATTCAGGGGTTATTATTCAAGCAAATTGGCTGGCACAACATAGAGACCAACTATGAATATAACGTCTTCTAGAACATTTCAACGAATGCTCAGCTTCTGCGTTTGCCCTCTAGCTATAGACGTGCTCTAATATCTTATGCGTATACATTGCTCGGAGTAGTACAGAACATGACCTTAGAAAAAATACCTAAATTTTACAGCTTTCTCTTGAAAGGCATGCAGTGTTAACCAATGCGTTAAGAAAAGCTCCGTTTGCTTTTCTAAATCATTTCTTAACGTCTACAGTAATATTATTGCAAAAACGTATATTCACACATATTTTACATGTAGAAAGCAAAGGTGGATGTCATACTGGCGTCTGTCGAGTCATCGCCTTGTTGTTGTCGCGCCCTATTGCCCTCATACAGCGAAGCCCTCTATTGCCTTGTTACAATAGAGAGCTTCGCTGTGTGAGGCATAGCATGCTTCCTCAGTGAAGTAGGGGCAATGCCATGCCTCAGATGCATGCTATGCCTCAGAGCATGCAATCTCAGAGTCCATGGCCCCACCTTTGATAATAAATAAAGGGAAAGAAAGGATTTTTTCAAATTATTTTGGCGCGCAAACAAATTCGAGAATACTTTTTGCAAGCACAACTGAAAGGATAAGGAAAACAGTTTATACGCTTCACATTTTCTCTCTTATAATTTATTTCTCCCTCAGTGTTTCGATAAACATAGTATCATACCATTATGCGTCATATATGTTTATATAGGTCTTTTTTGTGTTGTAACTTCCACTGCTTTTTTATAGTAATACATTTGGACATTTGCTTTTTCTAAATGCATTTGAGTTGTATTTTTATAATATCTTGTTTTTAAGTGTTCTTCAATACGTTCTTTTTCAAGTCCATTAAAAAGATGGGTTTCAACATGTGTAATGCAGCTTTTCGCCATTGCGCTTTCGGCAACATTTTCGTTGGACAATAAAATGTTTATGATTCTGAATCTGCATAGTATCTACGTGCAAACGCTTTTCAGATTTTAACGTGTTTAGTCTAAGCAAAAATTATTTATGGAGTGGAGCAAATATCACTGCTATGACCATTGTGTGGCGGTGCATTCTAAAGCCTTGTCTCCAAAACTATCGTGAAATGTCACCGTCTTTGTCGAGCAACGTCATAACACACTTTTCACCTTCTATTCTTCCCTGCCATCATGTCAATCAACGGCGTCTAGGGACGGCTTACGACCTCCACGGCACACTCCTAGCACTGTCCAAGTATCCCGGCATGCATTTCAATCACTCCCTTATAAGGCAAAGGGGCATCAGTCTTCTCGGCCACGTGACTGCGCAGAGAGGCTGCGGAGACGCCTTTGTGAGCGCACACTTTTGCGACTGCCAGGGATCTCACGCTGACCTCGACAAGAACTTGGCATTGGTGCAGTCGTTCGCCTTCTTTGTCGTCGAACATTTTAACAAACGCAACGAAGCCAACTTTCCAGGACAGTGCATCAAGTGAGAATTTCGCAACTCGAGGGTTGCTGGTCTTTGTGTCCCCGGTATTGTTTTAAATACAATGACTAGTAGCGTGTCTCTTTAGAGTATGCAGATCAAGTAGATTGATTGATATGCGGGGTTTAATATCGCGAAACACAATATTGAATTGAATTCAAGCTTTATTTTCATGTTTGAGACTACATGAAGGATAGAGGGAGTAAAAGCTGTATAAAACAGCTTGACTAGCTCCTGCTACCTAAATGAATGGGTTGGAAGCGTTGGCACACAAATAAATACATATTATACAGAAATACGGTGATGTCAATCAATAATTACATATTCTAAACGAAAACACACACAGCAGTTCCCATAAAAAGGCTATGTATACAAGTGTTATAAAATGCATAAGAGGTCAAACTAGTACAACGGGTAAAAAACATCATGAATAAGTATAAGAACAATGATGAACAATTTTTGTGGTCATATTTTCGTATTTGCCAATGCTGTTTAAATAGTTCAACATTTTGGGAAAAACGTTGCGTATTATTTGGTCACCATTTTTTGTGCGTAACCAGAGGTCATGCTTACGGGTATAATATTTATTCTCCGAAAGGTGCAGGTTGGCTAAATCCCGCCGTAGTGGAGATGCCTGAGTGGAAAGCTTCGGAAATTTGGAGCACCTTTCCTAGCACATAGAAACGCTATCCTGCCTGACGACTCCTCTAAAATAGATTGTCCTGGGTGTGATCGTCGGAGCCCTCTAATCAGGTCATTTTCTTTAGAGGCTGAACAACCTTTAGAAAGATGTCATCAGCGGAAGGCAAAACACATACCGAGTGTATTTAGGATTGGGCTTAGAGACTTTTATTAGCACAACCAATGAGGTCTTCGTTGGTTCTAAACGCATTGCGAGCACCTGTAGTTCTCGGATGAAGCCTGAGCATTTTCTTCGTGCTGCTTAGCATTCAGAGTACAGAAAGAACACATGATTTTTGGAAATGGAGGTTTGTGTGTTTTTGTGTTTCTCGTGAATGCTAGCATGGTGCTGCGGCGGCTGCATTTCTGATAAAGGCGGAAATATTGTAAGCCCGTGTGCTCAGATTTGGGTGCACGTTAAAAAAGCCCAGGTGATCGAAATTTCCGGAGCCCTCCATTACGGCGTCTCTCGTAATTATATGGTGGTTTTCGGACGTTAAACTCCATATATCAATCATCATCATGAATGCTAGCACGGTGTTAAAATCACTTTTTAAGGGCGCGCACAGAAGACAAATGTTCATGGGTTCATTTCTTCTGTTTCCCGTGTCGGTGCTATTTGGAATAACTGTTATTACATACCAACAAACTAGCTTAACCACGATATTGAAGGTGTGTTAGTGAGCCTGGCTAAGAAACAGCAGAAGGCTGTCACAATGGTTGAGTTATTCGCTACAAATGAATGATAGACTTGGAAACCTACTCTAGATCGAAGGAGAGGGTGGGTAGGCTGATGAGTTTACTTCTGGGCGCTATTCAATCCCTAGGAATCCAGAATAACAATTTTTGTGTCGCAATTTTTAGCAATAGTGGGTGTGATCTGCGTAGTCAACCTGGGTGCGTAAAAACAAGCAAACTTGGTAATTTTCTTGCAGTGAATACTCAACTATTCATTGTGGTGGTCGAACGCTTTTGCACAGTTGTAAAATTATCGAAAAAGACGCACAGGATTTCAAGTTACGTGAACACGAAATCACGACGCGAGAAAAAAAAATGGCCGTTCCTATTAACCTCGGTACACTGAGGCATCAACGAGCATTCCTCAGGCGTGGTATCATCAGAAAGGCTGGGCACAACACAACACTACGGCCCCACACCACCTTGCACTTCTATCAGAAGTAGGAGCACCACCATCATTTAAGTAAAGGTGGAATGTCCACGAATTGTTCTTGCCCGCTTCGTGATCGCATACTCTATAGCAATGAACGAAGTGCACGATGGGACACCACGTTATGAACAGTAATGTTAGAAGGTGTGCTCCAGTCTGCACTCTTCACCGCTATTCAAGTTTGAAGGTGGAATTTCACCGGAACGTTAGCTTATGGCATAATTCGCCCAAATACAATTTGTTTTTTTTTCATCCTGCAACAGTAGTGGACCGCGGCACACAAAGAGGTTGAGACGTAGGCTGTAGTGGGCGTGAAAATTCACAAGGATTATCGAGATGAATATATTCCATTCGCCTGTGCATTGTATGACGTTAGTGAGTTGCGTAATCTGGTTCTTTTTGACACAGCGTTGGGGAAATGCTACGCTGGACCTTGTGGTAATCACCTCTGAAAATTTATTTTAACATAGACTAACATGCCTACCATGAAATTTATAGAAAAAAGAAATGAAGCTTATATATTTTATGCACGAAGGTTCTGCTCGTTTTAGTC